ATTACTTGCCCGTGAAGAGATCACTCGTTTAATAAACGTACAGCTGTATTACACATTGTATAATACCAAAACGCGTGCTGATGTACTCTCGGAATGATAGATCACTTATGCACACTCGATGACCCCAGCAACCTTGTTGCTAGGCTGACGTCACATGGCATTGTTTCGCCGATGGATCTTGCAACAAAATTCCACAAATTACGTCATCGAGTACAGTGACGTGATTGTAAACTTTGAGGCGCAAGGCCCCGTTCCACAAGGCGATCGTATTGTAGCGCAACGACAGTCGTTCTAAGTTAAAGTATGTGAGTTGCGATAACCTTAGTCTACGATAGTTTTTAGAACGGACGCCTGAATTCTGAAGATAGACCGTTGTATGGTATTAAGTTCAAACGTTTCAACTTTTGACGTGTTTGAAGTATTATTATGTTGAACTCAATTGGATTATGCCGTGGGTCGTGTAGGTGTCAGCCTATTCACACTCAACAGCATAATTCTAAAAAACGTTATAAATGGCAAGTAATAAATAAAATACTAAACTCGCTCCCGTGTAAAACAAATTGTATGAAACTCGTGAATAGTTGTGGTATTTGACTCGCTTTCGCTCGTCAGATACCACAACTATTCACTCGATCGTTTCATAAAATTGGTATTACACGGAATATCGTTTAGTATTCTATATATAATCAATGGGTTCATCGTTGTTTATGCATTGTGACCACAGGATATTGAACTGTTTACTTTATTTCTCCAAGAATTGTAAAAAGTATAAAAATATAACCGTGTCATGTACTGAATGTACTGAAATGTTTGGGCGTTTTGTAAGTATCCTATGTGAAGATTTCAGTTATTTTATACTCTGGCTGTAATATATATAGGGTAATTTTATATAGAAATCTAGAAGTGACGTTGCATGCGTAAATACTACAACGACTGGAAGTGTCTAGCGTCATCAGCATACAGTGCTGTCAAGCAAAATTCTAAGAAAAAACAGAATTGTCTAGAAGACATAATTAATGCACTTTCACAATATCTATTTACAGAAACATAATCTATATAGGAAACAACGCAAATCTAGTCTTTTAAAGGCATTTTGAAGTGATACACATCATAAGGAAGAGAATTTATGGATGTGAACTTTTTCATAATTCACATGAAGGAGTAAGTAAGTATATACTCCGAAACGTTGTGTTCCTCATAAAAAAGAAGTTGACATCCATAAATTCTAATCTTGATTTTTAACAAAGAACCGTCGTATTTCCTGCATTATGCGTCGCGCGTGGTCGGGAAATAGTCACAGTGAAGGCTTCATTAAGCCTAGAGTTCGTGACCAACTGCATGGCAGGTTCTGCAGGAGGGTTATTTTGATGTTTATATTTTCTGACAAGTAGAAGGTGGACGAGGGATTGGTGCAAGCGGTTTGATGCTCGGAATACAAACAACGTTAACGCGCAGGAGAATGACGTCAGTTACCGTATTTCCTCTAATCGGGGTTAGAATAGGTTCGCAGCAGCCTATGGCGACTAACTGGAGCGAGTGGCTTGATGGAAAGTGTGTCATATCATAGTATACCCCCCCCCCCCCCCCCCCTCTCTCTCTCTCTCTCTAGCAACCCATGCTTGTCGTAAGAAGCGACTAACGGGATCGGATGGGGAGGCTCGCAGACTAGGTTGATGCATGTCATCGTATCCAAACTACGTGGATCGATGCTCATGATGTCAGTCACTGGATTGTCTGGCCCTGACTCGATTATTTCCAGACCGCTGTCATACCTGAAATATTGCTGAGTGCGCCGTTAAACAACAAACAAACAAATAAGTATATATCCATCAAAATGTTTTTGTTCCTGACTGATTCAATAAATGAAACTATAGTTCTATGCCGATGACGTCACTCGGAGGCTGCGAACTGGAGGACCGCACCCCCGGGGTTCCGTGGGTAAGGGCAACTTAGGGCAACCGAAGTGTGACGAAATCAGTTAACACGTTCTAACACTGGTCAGCCAAGGTGACCTTGCGTCATGGCTTGGTCAACACAGGTACCGTTGGGTCGGCAGGGCTTAGAAAAAGAACGCAAGCACTATCTAGCATAAAAGACCTGCGGAACCTGTTTCTTGCTGCGCATACTTCCGTAACCACGCGTGAGTGGATGTGAATATTGTTTTACGCCGTTTTTTAAGCAATATTCCAGCAATATCACGGCGGGGGACACCAGAAATGGGCTTCACACATTGTACCCATGTGGGGTATCGAACCCGGGCTTTCGAGCTGACACTTTCACCACTAGACTACCGCACCGTCCCTTGTCCACGCGGAGAATAAGCCGCTCACATCATTGTGGCTTTGTATTTTACGTCAAATATTTCTTTGTTTGTTCTTCATGATAGTTGCAGATCGGATTTCTCTCCCACAGTTTGGAAGCATACATGACATCTATACATTCGGAAATGTTATAGGTGACCGGGTACACTACAGGTACACGTATTATAACACGAGGAACTCATTTGGTGACTTTTCAATACAGTTACACGATTCCTGAACGCAGACAGACAAGATTGTTTAAGTATAATTCCAATTACAAATTTAAAAATGGTAGACAAAATATGTAAAACGGAGGGATAAGAGCTTTGAATAAATCAGAGACCATACACCGGTATATGATCTCTGAGTAAGTTTTACATGATTATATAAGATGTACACACATGTTAAATAAGAAAAAATAGATAAGTTGTAATGCTTATATTAAAAAAGATTATGAAGGACTTACTTCCTCTGTTTCAAAATAACACAGCAGGTTTTGGCCGTTACAGTATACATATCGCATGATGATAAAATAAAACAAACGTTTTGAATATCACAGATCATTAAAAAAAATGTTTGCCATGTCAAATTTTCAAATGAGCTCTTCGCGTGCCCCGCTGTAGACGGGACAATATAGCAAGACATGAATTTCGTCCTCAACAGTTTCGGTGGGACGCATGTCAATCGTCGGCGGCATATACATTTTTAAAATTACATTACGATCTGATTTTATTGCCGCCATGACGTGCACTACCATTAGGTGGTGCAATAGCCCGGTTCCACTCGTTTATACATCAAAAAGTGAAACTCTGACCTAATAAAAATAGTATTATAACTCGCAAATCCCTTTGCCAAAAAAGATGTGCCCCCGCTTGTCATTTGTCAAGTGATTTTTTCTTTCTTTTTTGATTATTTTTTTCGTATGAACACCTGTGAAGAATTCAAATGAAAATACATCCCTGTCCTCCATGCTTGTCGTGAGAACTGACTTGAAATGGGAACGAGGGTAATCTTTCATGCGCATGGTTTTCGTACATTGCGTGCTTGTTAGATGTAAATGACCGCACTTTTAACATTAAAAACGAAATAAGCGTGCTACATCAATGGGCCCGGGTTAAAATTATTTCATTCAGGTGTTTATATATGAAAATCTTGTATTTGTGTCGTTGGAATATTGTTTTATTAATTTTATCATAATTTTTATTAATATCCCAAATGTTTAAAAAGTATAAATAGCACCATGCAGTTTCAGTATGTTTGGTATCACGAGACAAATGGAGGATCTGATTGATTGGTATAGGTTCTGTGGTTATCTGTTGATTATCTCCCTTCCTCCGTAAGCAGTTCGCTGGTGACTCGTTTCGAGCTGGTTTTTGCCATGAGTTGACATTAGGCACTCGTCAACTTGATGTTATCACATGGACATCGCACAGATACTACCACGTGACAAGAAAAAGACACGTATATGAACGGGTAGCTACTTTCAATAACGGCAGCGGTAAAATATACACGTATTGATCTACTAAATATCATATAACTCTCAACCTATATAATATCCGTCATCCTCAACCTTACTTAACAAGATAGAACATAGTTCAACGTTTTAATGTTGAATGGTTGGAGGAGGGGTGGTGTGGGAGTGGTTGAGAGAAAAGGTGGTGGTGTGGGGGTGTGGGGGTGTGTGTGACTGGAATATGAACACATTATTATTTAAAAATACATTTCGTCGTTTAGTCTGTAAGAACCGTGTGTGTATGGTTAGACGTTTCTCTTTCCTTATTTGGAAAACCAAAATAATTTTTTGTATGCTCACGGGTTCGAAACGAGCATTTGTTGTGTATATTTTCAAGGGAAACAACTCTTTCTGCTCTAAAGAGGCATTCGCTCTAATGTCACTTTGATTATGCCTTTTCTTTAAATAAAATAATAATTTAAATAATATGTAGTGTATATATGCAGAAAATGAATTATTAACTTACGAAAGCAATTCAGATTATCTTATTCGATAACATTGTTAACGACAGCTAATAAACATCGAGTCAGCAAGCATCAGTTTCAATTGCCCACACAAATACGTCTATCTGAAAGTATGTTGCTTACAAATATATGGTAAATCAGTTAATTTTCAATATAACTTATACTATAGCACTGTCGCAATTCAAAGCAGTAATTTGATAATCAGATATATTCTGACGAGTAATTTAGGCGATATTTACCTTAACTATTTTCACCCAGTGGTGCATTTATGTTTCTAAATTCATATTGGAGTTCGATTTTAAGCTACAATACCTAAACCTATTAGTATAAAGAAGTATATATTTGCGTCAAAGTGGATCGAACATGGATATTAATATAGTGTATTCTCTAAATGTGCGCAAGCCGAAACTGATAAAACGATACGAGTTGTTTCCCTTTACATGACATGTAGCCACGCCTCCCTAAATATATTGTCAAAATGAGCAATTTACACGATAATTAGATGTTGGTTGACCATGGACAGCTTTGATATAAATGTAAATATATTTTATAAATGTGTATTGGAAGTTGTCATCTTTGTAATTTAATCAGATATGTCGTAACCGCTGTCGGTGTGTCTATTTCGTAGGAGGATTTCGGCCATTTAGTGATTGTTCGGCTGCTCATATCAGTTGTAAGGAAAAGTGAACATGACCATATAAGGCGCAGAGCCTATCAACACGCGGCGAAAGAGGTCACGTTTATATCAAAAACGGCATATTTATATTGTCTAACAACGTTTGGAATAACATTCATTTGGTAAGAAAAGTGTGTGGTAGAAGTCTGATCAAGTGACATCGTGTATTTTCATATTTTTCATGTCTGTCAGGGCGTGAGTGTGGGAAGTCGTAATTTGCATTACAAAAGCCCCGCACATGCGCATTCATTGAACAGCTGAGAAGCGAGGGTCGTGGCAACTTGAAATAAGACAGAGAAAAAATCTGTGATCCCAGTTCAGTCGTCAAATCGGTAAGTGACAACATTCATTCGGGATATATTTGTCAGTTTACAACATATTTTCATTTATTGAAACGATCTGTATCTTTGGTAGGTGAAGTTACAGCAAATTTTTGAACTGCGTATGTTGACCTTGTTTGATCGTTAGCTCACTTCAAAAAGTTTTTCCCGTTACTGAAAGTGGGTGTGGAACGCGAAAATAATGGATGATATTAGAATTTTTGATTGAAAATAGTGTGAAAAACAACTTTCAAACAAGTGTCAATGAAAATGGGTGACTGTCATAACTTTTGAACGTGGGTGAGAAGCCTCGTGGCACAAGCATGTACACGATTTGAGCTGCGCGTCACAAAGACGGTCCTTTGTTCGTCTTTTCGGCGGTAAAATGTACCCTTTCATCAACATGACATCACCCTCATGAGATTCAGAGTGAAAGAACAATCATTTATTCTATCAGTAACATATTTTGTTGATATATTTTGTGGTCCAGATTGTAGGATGTCGGCTTCTAAACAACCGAGACCTTTCTCGGCGGATGCATTTGCTGTGACCCAGTGACGGCTGCATAAATCATGAAAATGAGATGGTGTATAAATTTAGCCGGAATCTCCTAAGCTAGGTCAGTTTAAGTTCATCCTTACCAGCGCAGCAGTTGGGTTTTGCGTAACTCTTCAGTTTGGATGTAGTTAGTCTGTGTTATTGACAAATGTCAATTTGAAATAGACAAATTACTGACCATCGAATTATCATACATTGTTACGGTAAGTGTGTTAGAACGGGTGTTGTTTGTCGAGCACACTTTGGGCTCATGATTTTATCGCGAGCGTACCAGGTGAACTTACTTAGGGCGTTGAACTCGAAGTCTCAGATACTAATTGTACTAAGAGGTGACTTGTCAGTGGCGATACTGTCAATATCTGCAGATGGACAGACGAAATGTGTTATGTGAAGTAGAATGCCTGGGAATGTGAATTTCATTATGATAGTGCTGCTCGACGCGTGAGCCGGTGGTGTGAGTAACCCAAATCTGTGGGCGTTTGATTCATTTTGTGAATCATAATGAACTACAAGTGTCATTTCACCACTTCGATGTAGTATTTTAGTTGGATGAGGCTGTGTCTAAGGCTGTGCATTGTAAATTTCAGGTGTGGAAATTACCATAGGCAAGCATCATGTTTAGTTTCCACAAGCCAAAAATCTACCGCAGCATCAATGGATGTTGCATTTGTAGAGCAAAATCATCTAGCTCCCGATTCACTGACAGTAACAAGTATGAAGCAGAGTTTGAGAAATGCTTCCGAATTCGTGAAGAGAGAAGTGGCGAAATCTGCAATGCTTGTGTATTGTTAGTGAAAAGATGGAAAAAGTTACCTGAGGGCACCAATCGTCATTGGAATCACGTAAGTTTATTCACATTTGACAAATATTTATTTCCACCTCAGACGTGCCACTATGACAATATGTTGATACAATGATATTGATATCAGTAGATCTACATGTATATTATTCACAATAATATTGATATTTCATCTGTTGTGGTCAGTACCATGAAGGACATTTGACCGTTCAGTGGACGCTATTCATGCATTGTTTGAAAATGTTACACTTGTAAGAATGTTTATGAAAAATCACATACCATAACAAGTACCATTGCACTTGCTATTCAGCAGTAGTGTAAACAAAGCAGGGTATTTGACATGTTTAGATTTCAAATTGGTTGGTTGTTTTACCAAGGTAAGTAAATCAGGTCAGTAATTAGTTGTCACTTGTCTATATTTTGACAACTAACAAGCTTAAGTAACAGTAATGGTTGACTTAATGCTGTGTGACCCCTTGGCAATCCTACTGAGGGATAAAATGAGTCATTGTTTGTCATGGGTAGATTCACCCGGATGACACTACCTTTGTTGATGTGGAACAAAGCCAGTTCGGTCGTCAAGTTCATCAAATTTATAGTTACATTTACTGCTGTATTAATTTATGACATAACTGCATTTTATATTTCGGCATGTCATAGTTGTCAGGTTGTTGAACTATACTTCCCTCATTAGGCCATTAGACTTATGTTCTAGTGTCGTATTTCATGTAATGGTATCGTAAATGATTTCTTGTTTACCTGAGTTATGACAATAGAATTGTCCAAGATCTGGGATTTATTGCTTTCTCTGTTTCGAAGGGTCATGACATTATCATTGTTTGCTGTTTGTAGCCAGGGAATTTTGCGATTGGATTGGCCTCCTCAAACATTTCTTAAACTTTTTCTTCCTTTTTTTTAAATAGTTTTTGGCCGAAATGTAAATCTTATTTTTGCCCCATCTGCTAAGGAATGTCAATGATTGAAGGCAAAATATTTTTACTGAAGTCAAATACATTGCTTCAAACAATAATTCAGAGGCAGGTTTCATTAAAGTTAAAATGATTTCTATGTATTTACTGTAAATTTATTAATGTCATGTCTTATTTTGCCAGCAGTGGTTGTTGTGGGGTCCTGACTGTTTTTTCATTTCATCTCTTTGGCAATACATGACATATTTCCCTTTTTGGTGCCACTTTACTTGCTGGTCTATCAGCTAAAATTTATGAAATTCCTGCTAAAAATAGAACGGTAAACCGTTGCATCAAATCATGTGCATGTTTCATCACCAATCTGTTGTGAAGAAAATGCCATTATTTTCATAGCCTTCCTAGCAACAATTCCCTGTTGCATATTCTGAATTTGCAAGAATTTAATTTGAAAATTCAAATATCAACACAGTTGCAGAAATTGTAACAACGTTCGATATCTCTTGGAATTTCACATCTTTCTACTTGATGCTGTGAAGTGACACTTTGACCTGGTGTCAGAGGCAAGTCAGGCGAAGAATCAAGAGATAATGCTTCAAGTAGCTAATGCAGTAAATACTACGAACTATGTAACCTACATACTTCTAAGCCATGTTGGTTGGTGGAGTGTAGGCTAGAGTCGGTCATGTGGAAACCACTACTGAACCTTCCACTGTGACCTGGGATGGGCCGGGGAAAGGGTCTGTTGGCTGTGGCTTATCATTAGGAAAACAGCATCTATAGAAATGTATGTTATGATGCACTCGGCAAGTATTTTGACATGTACTTATGTGACACCCACGTGTTATAACATGACTGGAATTTTTTGTTCGGAATTTTGCGGTCAACAAGTAAACATCTGAGAGGCGTATTTTTCTAAACATGTGCATCGGATGTGATAAACAAAAGATTATTGTTACAGAACTAATCACTAATCACAATCCTGTCGAATGAGACCTGATATATATATATATATGTCATTAAAGTGTCATTTAATGTAATTAAGGGTCATTATCTCATAATTAATGGTAGCAGTCTTATTCAGTTTGTTTCATTCCCTGAATGGTATTTTGAAATGTTGGAACAGATTATGTTTGATAAGCTAAGATGTCTGCCAGCATAACAGCCACAGTATATCAGATATGACAAATGTTGATGCACACCACGCATGAATCCATGTTATATGTTTAGCTAGCCTGGGGCTATTACATTAGATGTACATGTAGATACGCAGTATACCACGTGTAGCTTAGTGGAATTCCAACCCGGCACACTCCTCAATGTCTACACAGCCTTCACAGGAGGTGTAACCCAACACCACCCTCATCAGTAGATAGCCCTCTCTCACATGGCAGAAATGCCATACATATACATGCATATAGCAACTCCTCCTGCTCCATAAAACGTCAGGTTTTGTGACGGCCAGCTCAACATTTAATGCACTTTTATACAAACAATCAACAATTTTGGAGCGAGACTTTGAGTCGCTGTGAATTGGTTACTCCCACCAACACTAAATCATTTTTGATACCCAATTTATAAGTTATAAATGTGATGCTTTGTTGAAGGAACTGTTTTTGTGTTAAGTGTTTTCAAGGATCATGAGGGTTAAGTTAAAATTTTGTGTTCTTTGTTTCTCAAGTTTATGTATATCTTAATGAGATGGTAAACATGTTTTGAAGCTGAGGGCGTCAATTTCGACACCCTAGAGTATGCAGCTTGTATAACGGAAGTAACTGTGAGACGTAGTCAAAGGGTTTTCATTGGTTGTGTAGGAGTGATACTCGGTAAACAGCACTTGTCATTCAATGTAGGTCACAACAGCTGGACGTTATGACAGTCAATTTTGATATTACGAACAACTGAATACGTCATTGTCAGCGAAGTAGCAACATGGTATTGCCAATAACAATAACATTCAGCGAAAAACCTCTTCTTGGAAAATTCCACGGCTTGGTAATCATTCAATATTTGTATATGTATTACAATTGTATTGATAAGATTGAAGCTTTATAATGTTTATTTAGATAAGACTTTACCTGACAGGAAAATATTTTCAGTAGTTTGTATGAGTGAAAATAATTGCCTCCATGGCTTCACTGGCCGAGTGAGTTGTTCAAATATTAATTATTTCTTGGTCAGGTTTGTGTACAAGAATTTACAGAAAGACAATGTGGAAATTCTTTGAATGGATTATGACTGCATCGGTCATTGACACTGCTACTGCAATGGTATTTTAAACCGATAATGGCTTCTTAATTATTGATCATCAGGTCAGAGACTGCTCTTTTTGCCAGTTTGTTCACACAGAAGCCATCTGTTAGGATTTTCGTTGTCTCGACAAGGATTGTTCACATTAGTCACTATCTTTCAGCTGAGATTGATAACTTGATACAAAATAGGTTTTATCAAGTTTATACTGATAAAAACATTGATGAATTTTTTTTCTCTTGTGCATGATTAATAAATGTACCGGTATGTGATCTAGGGCCCCTAGAATGAAATAAGAGTGATTTGAGATTGATTTCTTTATTGAAAAGGGTACCAATATTTTCATGTCAATAGATGTGATTGTTTGAATAATTACTGAAGATTGTATGAGATAGGAAGAGCTGGTTTGTTGCTTGTAAGAAACAAATAAGGAAAACTGATTAAGATTTATCGATGTTTAAATATAACGTAACAAGACATCCCTATCTACACTGATCATAGCTGATGGTGCCAACTGGCTCTCCAGCAACTTCTAAACTGGATTGAAAGTTATTTCAAGCGAACATATCCTTGACTGAAAAAAGACACTTCTGCCTTCCTACCAACCCTCATTTTCTGTGCCATGAATACGGAACCACAACATTTAGTTTTTCTGGGCTTAAAGATTGCATGGCACTAACTGTCACTTAGGATTTAATTTAGGCAACAACCTGCTTTTCAACATGCACACTAGCGATACGGCGAAGTCTGTTTGAAAATGGCGGTGTATGGAGCCGTTTGCTTTTCCAGCCCTAGTCATACTGTGGGTATTTATCGAGCAAATGAGAAAGGCACTCGGTGAATGCAGAGGTCATGCCCTCTGTGAATGAAAAAGAAAAGCTTGATTATTGTGGAATATGTCAGTACTTGATTTGGTGTTCATGTCATTGGCTGGGCTTGGTGACAGATGAACATTATCTATGCATAATTTTGACGGCTATGAATGTCTTTTTACTAATGATCGTCATTGATTGGTGGAATCTGTATTTGACCTGTCAGTTGACATTGTGTGTCTACCATGTTGATTACATCCATACGTAACATGCTGGTGGGCTGTCAGCCTGTCTGAAATCTCGGTGTGTTGACACTGAAATTGATGACTTGGAGTCAAGACCACTTGTCAAATACTTGTAGCTAGGTAATTGGGATTTACAACTCGCCATTCAGTCTGTGTACATTTCATTTTCAGATAAATATTGGTTTTATCTTTCGACAATTAAGTAAGTGTTAATGATCAAGCTTGTTAGAGTTAATGTCATCAAAGCAAAGAAGTGTTTTTTAGCAATTCCCTTTGAAGATGTTCCTGAAGACTGTAGGTACTTTTGTCATGTATATTATCTGTTTTGAACAGTGTCTCTAAAAGTTTTTGGATCTTGTCAGCGTTAGAAATTGGCACTAGTCCCATAGTCCTTGCCAAACAGCAAGTAGAAATTTTTCCTTTTTAAGGGTTTTGCCATGTGTTATCATTATGAGGACTAGTGGGCTAAAATTGTTAGTGGGTGAAAACATTGAATTTTGGTGGAAATCTGTATTTCAATGATTCCTCCAGATATGGAATTCATGATCGTCATCTAATTTTCTGATGACACTTCCTTGTAACGTAGGCATGAACGAAGGATAAACTCTCCTAGACCTGTCGGCCATTTCGGCTGTTATCGCTTCGAGACATTCAGGCAGCCTAACCTAATCTGTCTCTGGTCAGTTGATGTTTCAATCAGTCAAAATCTCAGTGGGCATCTGCATAACCAATTGGCTTCAACCACCAGGAGATAGGGAAGCACAATTGCAGCTTTCAGACCAAATCACTGTATCGCATGTGCAAGTTTCG